TGCTAATATGCTTGATATGTTTCTATTTTTTTCTGGATCTACTGACAGTGTTTTATCTGTATGAAGTAGGTAAGAAATTTTAGTTATGTAGTCACAAGGGAAAAAAAATCTATTTTCCTTTGGGAAAGTGGGTGCTAAAGAAAAAACACTAGGAAGAAAAAGGCTACACCAATTCAGATAAAGAATATGCTTCAGTCCATACGTTGTACACTCAGTGGGAAACACCCATTTCTGTTTTGCAGCACAGGCCTGTAATTTGTAATTATCTCCTTGATTTGCCCCATAGCTACACCTTAACCTCAGAAACGTAAAAATCCTCCTTTTTTTTCTCTGTCTACATCGCTGAACAGTTTTCTACAACTGTTCATTAATTCATGTATCAGCGACTTCAACCCTATTGTTCTGATACAGACAAAGGCTACACTGGCCACCTAAAATCTACTCAAAATGCATGTGGAATGTAGCCATGTAAAATATCATAGCCATGTAAAATATCACCTTCTCTTTCTTCACCAATCACATTTATCTTAAACTCACTCCAAAAGCTTTTCACAGAATCACTCGGTTGGAAAAGACCTCTGAGATCATCATGTCCAACCGTTCCTGTCTACCCCCTAAACCATATCCTTAAGTACCTCATCTACCTGCTCCTTAAAACACATCCAGGGATGGTGACTCCACCACCTCCCTGGGCAGCCTGTTCCAGCTGCTGACGACCCTCTCAGTAAAGAACTTCCTCCTTATCTCTCACCTGAACCTCCCTTGGCACAGCTTGGTGCCGTTTCCCCTTGTTCTATCCCCCATCACCTGGGAGAAGAGACCAGCACCCACCTCTCTACAACCTCCCTTGAGGCAGTTGTAGGTGGTGATGAGGTCTCCCCTCAGCCTTCTCTTCTCCAGGCTAAACAAGCCCAGTTCCCTCAGCCGCTCCTCATAAGGCTTGTTCTCCAGAGCCCTCACCATCCTTGTGGCTCTTCTCTGAACACGCTTCAGAATCTCAACATCCTTCTTATAGTGAGGGGCCCAGAACTGAACACAGTACTTGAGGTGCGGCCTCACCAGTGCCAAGTACATTGCCTTTTATAAGGCAATGAACAATTAGTACTGTTGTATGACTCATTGATCAAATTTTCTCACAAATACGTTACCTTTTCCCTATGCTGCAACTATTCTGCTCACTAAATAATGTTTATGTCTTCTTCAGCTATTGAGACAAACTTTGGTTCTCTTTTTCTGTTCTGAATTCTGACCTATAAAATTTGTATGTATGTTCAATCTGTACGAGATGGCTTAATCCAGTATGGCAACTATTGTAGCAATCTTATCTTTGCTGTGTAAATAGTGGGTCAAATTAACGGCAATAATTCCTTTTATATCTGATTATTTCCTATTTAAAGGCTAACACCCATAAACACATTATCACAATCTTTGTCACAGATCTTTTGCAAAACATACAAGTTTGCACACAGTTTGTGCTGAAACTACATAATATAAACCATCAGTATTTTTTCTGTACTGAAGACTTTATCCCTCTATTCGGACTTGGCTAGGATATCCTCTTAATATATACTGTAATGGATCTTGAATGCTTTAATAGACTTATAGATGGGCATTCATACGTATTGAATATATGTTGAGGGTTGGACGAGATGATCTTTAAAGATCCCTTCCAACCCAATACATTCTATGTTTCTATGATTCTGTGTCGTTATAAACGCATATTTGTTTTGATTCTGAATTCATAGACATGCCTGTTGCAAACAAAATTAGTAGTCTAAGAAAAAGAAGTGAGTGAAATTATATGCAATCTACCATGGTGTAAGTACCTTGTTGCAAAAAAAACCCAACAAACCCAAGCCTTTGTTTTAGTCTTCAAATCAGCTATAATCTCAAAAATTTATGAACAGAAGAAAGCATAAAAGCAGTTAATGTACCTGGATACATGGACATACTAAATTATAAAGCTTCGACAACAAAATTGGGTTTTGATGCAAAACAAAACAAAACAAGACAAAAGTCTCCAACGTTTGGTGAGAATTACGGTGTGTTTACACTAAGCTGTTTGTCAGGGGTGAAGTGGTGATTGCCAAAGCAAATTTTATTGTATTATAGTTGCATTATGGTACTGAAGACAATACTATGTCTGAAGGAAAACCAGCATCTTATTCCTATCAGGAATATGGTTTTGAAAATGTTCTTCATTTTATCTTTACAGTAATTTATGTATCATATATCATATCTCAATCTTGGTTTGTTATCTATCGGTAACTCTGTCTTGCATTCTGAAATGGTGTGCAAATTTTGTCTAGGAAAGAGACAATGATTCAACTATATTTTGCAGGCAGCTAATTTATTTTCACGGTAGGTTAAATGCAGGGCAGCTCAGTTAAAGTGTTTCCTTTACTTTAAGAATAAGTCCCATAGAAATCTAATCAGATTTCTACAGTAGTGTTACATCTGGGCGCCAAGTAGTTTTTAGACAAAACAGGCTCTTGCAGCTGAGGCTGTCATTTAGTTCAAGGCGGTAGTGTTTTTTCCTGAAATTCAGAGATTTTAAAGTTCTCTGTTATACAATTCAAAGTAGTTAGTTAGTTGAGTATAAAATTTTAATTTTGAATTTTCTGAGCGATATTTATTGAGACAAATTATAATCCAATATTAAAATTCCTATATAATTGTAAACAATGCAATCCATTTTTAGGTATCTATGTGACTAGCTAATTTAGACATATTTTATGCTGAGTTTCTGCAGCTCCTCCTAAAATTTGAAGGGTAATCCAATTCTAAACGTGTGCACACAAGATTATCAATGCTTCAGTTTCAGAACCCAAGTTTGAAAATAGTGACTTACACTGCCAGTTCTTCCTCTTTAAAATATCCTTCAAAACAAAAGAATTGGTCCATGATAAACAGATTTTTAAAAATTAAATTACAATCTTTAAAAATGCAAAACAAATGGTGCATCCAATTAATTAGCCAGTTAAGGAAGACAGCTGTCCATTCCTGTCATACTAAGGTTTTTAGTTACCAATGTGCACAATGGCTCTTAGCTTGCCTTCAAACTTTTTGGATAGCAGCTTTTCAACTGTTAGTCTCATACTTTGTAAACTGGAACCCTGAAATGGTCATCGCTTTACAGGACATTTTCAGATGATGAAAATAGCTTTTCCATCATTCTAATCTAGTGACTTCATGGTGTTCTTCTTTTCAGTAGCACCTTACAAAACAATTTAGTATGATGAAAATGGTTCTTCTCTCATTCTGATTTACTTATTACACAAGTCTCCTCATTTCTGCAGCTCACTTGAATGTAAAGAATGAATTGTCCTTCTGGGATTAACGAAAATTTGTAAAAACAAGTTGAAGTCAACTCTGAAAAACAGACTATATAATCCAGAAGGTGTCAAAGGAGCTGATGAGATATTTGTGCTGTATTTTTATTTGTACATTTTATTTCTATAATTATTAAAAGAAATATAATGTAATTATTAAAGAAATTTGCATCTCTCATCATTTGCATCGCAGTAGGAAAGCACAGAATATAGCAGTTTACTTACCAAGATTTCTTAATATTGTATTAAAAATGTTTAAGGAGTTATGTAGTGTTAAAGCATTTACAAGGCATTTTAAATCAATTTCTTTAAAGGGATCATTATATGCCATCAGCAAGGTGCTAATTACATAAAAATAAAAGGATGTATGGTCTAGATTTTTTTTTCCTTGGGTAGTTAATTTCTATTCTTCCTAACTACTTTTGGAACAAAAGTAAGTCATAATTCAGCAGAAAATACATCCCCGAGATGATCCTTATAATGATCATAGCAATTTGCTAGTGACTGTTTATTGTACAGTTAAGGTGTAAAACAAATTTTTGTGTTGATCTGGACATGAGGAAATAAAGGATTCTTTGTAAATGTTTGCAGTTGTCAGCTTCTAAAATCAATCGAATCATAACATAGATGATACAAAAACCCTACAACTTCCAAGTGTTAAAAACCTGTAATATCTGTAAAACAGGGTTGATAAAGTTCGTAATTGGGAATTTATAATTTCTAAATCTTGTTATTTAAAAATCTACTTCTGCATGAACCTAAAAGCCCCACTGATTTGAAGTAAAATGGAAAGTGTAAGCATAAATTAGTTTACTACTTTTCCTGATACTTTTTAAGACATTTTTCTCTAAATATGTGTCAATTTGGAATAAGTACCTGGATTTATATTTCATGCTGAAAGTGATTAATTCATTCTTTTCCAAAGCATGACCACATTACCACTATTTAGGTCTTTTCAAATGAATTCAGATATGGTAAGCATGGTGTACTTGTACTGGAATTGTTTTTTGTTTGTAAAAGATTTTAAGCTTCTTTAAGAAAATCAAGCAAATAATTGAAGGTTTTAGTTTGTGTTTTTTCTTTTTTTTCCCCTTTTTTCCTTTTTTTTTTTTTTACTCTAATAAAATCAGGAGACTGTGGTGAGATCTAGCGGCAAGTAGTTTGATGTCCTCAGCAGGACACTAAAAGTCAGAAGTAGCGCTGTAAATTCAGTGTGGGGCTTCGACACTGTGCTAAGTGTGGCCTGAATCTCTGGGGCTTCCCTTTGATGCAAGTGCAGTATATTAACTGGAAAAGCATTCACTTTTATTTGTCTGTACTGTCTGCGACAGCAATATCGCCTCATTTAGGCTAGTTCAACATGAAAATGCACAGAGAAGCAATCTGTTACAAATTAGCACAGCTCCCCTTTCATTTTACTAGCTAGTAATTGGAAGGGGTTACAAAAGTGTAATTTATCAGATTATATGTGTTTATCTTTTTGTGGGGACAGCATGCCTTTGGTGAATTTTCCTACGCACCCTGAGGGAATAATCTTTCCTTGATGTCCATTAGATCTGAAAGAAAACAATGACGCCTGTGAAATATAGGAGTATAATTTGTTGGGTTTGAGAAGGAACAGTTTCCCAGACATCTAAAATGGTATTAATGACTTTATTAGAACCTTACCGTTCCTTGGAAATGCTTTTGCTCTCTCGTTTCCAAATGGTCTTGAAGTCACTGCAGAATTCGTACCAAACCGTGAAAACGTAGTTTGGTGTGATCTCCTTCTCGCCAGGCTTGGGCTTTATCCCAAAGTATCCCACTGTTTCTTCAAAGCTACGAGGGATGGGGAAAAAACAGTCAACACATAAACCCACTGGGGAAACAGCTTCTCTGAGGGCTGGTTCCTGATTCAATAGTCAAGGCTGGTAATTACCATAACTTCCCTTTAGCCTTGGAAATCATAGCAGCAATTCATGCTGAATGTATCTAACCTTCCAACACCTACTTCGTGCCCAGGAGGATAGCTTACAGACGCATGAGACATGACAGAGATATGTCACACAGGCAAATCATGGGCATTCAATTTTAATGAGAAAAACTTGACTTCTTGCATTTCAGGAAATGCTGTTATATCTATTTCTTTAATTTTATTCTGCAACACTCCATGAAGATCTTATTCTCCCATTTATCTTTATTGAAGGACTATGGAAGAGTCACATACCAAGTCTGGAAAAAACCTCCAGGCTTGCTTAAAAATAACTTTCAAGTACTTGGGGAGAATTGGGAGGAGCAACAAAAAAGCCACAGAGCGCATCAGTAGTCAGTATGCAAAGTTTTTACTGAAAATAAATAATCTCCTTCCACAGGCGTCAATAAGCAGATAATTAATTTTGTGAAAATAAATTGCCAATATTTTAATGGTTTTTTTAATTTTATAATGTGGCTACTGAACTGCTATACAGCTGGAGAGTTTCAAAGTTGTTTTTTATTATAGATGATATACATGATACATACTATTCCAATAGTATTTTAACTGGTTTGCATTTTTAACCTTTATGATATCGCTTTGTATAGATAAAATGGAATTATTCACATGACTAGGTAAATGGAGACTTATCTAAACAAAACAAATGAAAAGTATGTTCACATCTGTAAAGGTTGAATCACTTTTCTCTGCAAAGTATATGTAACAATCCTGAAAGATTTGATGATACTTAAGAAAAAGAATGCTGTAATTTAAAAAGAAAGATAAGAACGTATTTCAAAATAATTATTTTTTCTTGAAATATTAATTTTATTTAAGCAAAAGAAACTTATATTCTTCTTTATAGTTGCCAATAGGTCCTAAATCTAGAAGATAGGCAGTGTAAATCTTGAAAATAAAATAAGTTATTTTAAAGTCCCCAAATATTCAACAGATGTTACTTTAGCAACAGATGCAGCTTCAGCAAATATTTCTTTCTTAACTTATACTTGCATTTGCATAGTCCACATTACACGTTTTCATATGGAATTGCAAAGGTTAGGGTTAAGTTTTTTTGCCTTAGGTTGAGATTCAAGTTTTTAGCTAGGCTTGAAGAGTATAAAGTAACCATCAAAAAATACAGAAGTTAACCCCTCAAAAATAAAGGAACCTATACTCCAATTGCTTCACGAAGCAAAGCAGCTTAGATTTTAGCCAAATAAGCCAATGAGCTCTTGGGTTTTTTTCAGTACTTTAAAGATGGATACAGCTTCTAGGATGTATTTATACATATTTATACATATTTATACAATTTAACATTAGAAGTTTTTAAAATCCTCATATATTATAACATTAACCTTTAAAATTTCTTACATAGATTTTGTATGAAACATGTAACTACATTTCAGTTTAATTGGTGACCCATAGTAAAGGAATCACAATGAAGTAAGTATAAATAAGCCCAAAACATTAAAAGTTGAAGGGTCCTGTAGTGACACTAAAGGAAAAAATAAATAAATTTTAAAGACCCCAAAACGGGTTTAAATATCTGTGTAAACCATTCTGAGATGTCAAACCTTATAAGTACTAAAATACCTTAGTTATAATGACATGGTTAAAACAGTTTATGTCTACTGGGCAAAGTCATTTCCATTACATTCACTTGAGCCAAATACTCCTCAGCTGTTCCCACCCCTTGACTAGGATTGCTGAGCCAGGAACAGCAAGACCAGAAGCCCTCTTCTCAGGTTTACTTCATGTAACAGCAGCCCTAGTAACATCGTGCTCTCTTCTTCCTAAAAGACCCCTTCTCCATCCCAGCTGTAGCTGATGCAGTCGTCTCTGCATGCTCTGGGATTCTGAAATCCTGAATGGTCTTGCTCTGCCTTTGTCCTGACACTCACTCCTCATCCCCTCTTCATGTTTCATCTTCAGCCCTCCCCCCAGCAGCACTGGTTTGCTTTCACCAGCTTAACCTAGCTTTCTGGGCTGCTTTCTGACTTTCAAAAGTAACAGAACATTTTAGCAGTAATTTAAAACACTGAATGTTTAGTTAGTAACTGAAAACCCAAACTCCACATGAGACAACTAATTCCGTAAGTCCACTGCAAATTAAGTGTACCTCCATACCCTCAAGGTTCTACTCTGCTCCAGAAAGGCTACAAAGAAGGTGGAATATGAAAGAGTCGATGCCTCACAAGGTAGGTTTGTAGCTAGGTAGAAAGGACACAAACCAGCCAGCCACTCTTGACAAATGAAATTAAGATGTAAAGTCCTAGTTGATGTCAGGCAAGTTTAGGCACCTTCTGCAAGCAAATGGCAACAGTTCACCTAAGACTGGAACTGCATTTGGGAGGTGCCTGTCTCCCATTTCCTGACTGTCTAGGAAGGCTAACCTAGGTGTCTCAGTTAGGTGGAGTGACTCTGGACTCAGAAAAGTAACATCAAAATCCAAATTACCAGAGATCTGCCATTAGTGACCACAAATGAAAATATTGATAAGCTATAAAATAATTTACCACAGTTTATTTATAGCAGTTTCACAACACAAACAAGGTTGAAGGTAGATCCTTCACTCTCTTGAAACTATAATTTGGTAAACAAAATTTATTGGAAATCCTAACTTATTAAATTCCTTACAATCTATCTATAAATCAATTTATCTCACTTCTTCTCTTTTTTTCATCCCTTGGCCTAAGAAAGGCACAGATATTCAGGCAATAAAGACATTAGGATTTCACTGGTTTCTTACTGTACTGCATTCAAAAGCCTAAGTGCTGAAAATGGGTAGTGATGAAAATATACATTCTTACTACATTAAGTACAATATTTACAATATTCTGTAAAACTGATTTAATTGAATGTTGACAGTAATTAAAACCTCAAACACAGTACACTTTCTAAAAACTCAACGGAACTTTTTACTGGAAGACTACATAAGAATTTTTCAGAAAGCATATTACTTCTTTGAAGTACAGATCCTTTTTCCTATCTAATGCAATTCCTAAGATCAAGAACGACTTTGACCAAAATAAACTGTTAGAAAACACTAGCAAAAACCTTACCATTTTTGTGCATTTTCCAAACTGCCCTCTTCTTTTTTACGTTCTTCTTTAGCTGTCAATGAAAAACATTTCAAATACATAAATTACTGCCTTACTGTTTTAGAGATCTCACAGTTTAAGAATCTCTTACACTTGAAATTGGACAGGTTGTATACTAAATATAACAAAAGGTGATAAACATTCTTGTGCCTAAATAAATGCTTCCAATGTATCAATAAAGTGTATTGGATTTGAAAAATAATTTAAAAAGCACACTATAATATACAGTGGTAGACATTAATCTGAATAAAAAGCAAATAATTAAACTTCACTTACAGATTTAAAAAAAGAACATTAAGTTGTGTATGTTTCTTTTTTGTTGCGGACCACAATTTACAAATTTAAACCTGTGTTTGCAGCACAAATAATTGGAAGTTCAATTGGAATTGAACAGGTACCAAACATAGTTAACACCAACTGTTCCATATAGCTATCACATTTTGTTCAGGAAGCTGGAAAGTGAAAACACATGTACAAAGTTTTAAATGTATGGTATGTACATGATTTTTTTGAAAAAGCAGCCAAGAGCTTGAAATATGGTTAGTGAATCTGAGCCCCTCTGTTACAGAATGCTCACACGAACTACTTAAAAGGATTTGATTTTCAAAGGATGGGCATTCTGAGCGGGATACTCAAGCAAAAGCACTATTTTTTCACAAAATGTTGATAAATTCTTCTTTCAGTGGGGCAACTTTAGCTGTGGCTGATTACCACATATGTAAAACAATACTAATGTAGAAAAGTTACTCCTATTCCATGTTGGAATAATCCTCTAAGTGCAAATAAACAGAATTCAGACACTTCTTTATATGAAGTTAAAGAACTGTATCTTTTTGGTGCTCAGCCTATAGGAGTGCATTGGCTGGCCGAAATACAGTTAAAAGCTTGAGTACACAGACAAGACCACTTAGACATTGATCCTGAATGATTATATTTTGTTCTAAGGCTGCTAGCACAGGTGTTTGTACTAAGACAGTTAAAATAATTTTAAAACTTCAGAACATTTGCTGTTAACAAACAAATTAATTGCAACTTATGTTTACCTATATTGGGCAAGTGTGTTGGAGATACTAATTCAGATTATTTCAGTATGGCAAGGGCCAGAAAAAATGTTGTGTGCCCTTTGCAAGGAAAACAACTAATCCTACACCATTTTCAATTCTGCTCCCCAAATCTTGGTGGCAAGACAGCTGCAGCTGAAATAGATAGGGCAGCTCTGACTTACTGTGTTCATCTCAGGCTACTGAGAAATTCAGCTGAAGTTAACCTACTGTACTTAATTCATTTTTTCCACAACTCTTTCATTTTATATCATGAAAAGTAGAAAACATAAGTTGGAGTTCTGATGGTTCATCTCGATACAAAATTAACTATACGTAGAAAAACAAAGATGGTTAAGAGCCGAACTGTGTATAACATTGAACACTTTATTACATTAGTAATTTCTTTTCCAATATAAGGGAAAAGAGGAAGAAAATAACTGTATTATATGACATACAGTATTTTCCATATTTTTAGCTATAAACATGTCTACCAAGAAACTATTTAAAAGCATTTATTTAAAATTTAGATGTTGAGATTTATTAAGAGAATAAATACACAATTCTATTCAACAAATTCTAAGTAAATAGGAGTTACAAATACTAAATAATGTGTAAGACAAGAAACCAGAGCAATTCTCTAATCTTCCATAAAAATTCTAACTAATTTTCCACTCAGAATTTGTAACATCCTGCTCTTTTTGTCCCCCTCCACAACCTGCAATAACTACCACCACCAATGCTGTCAGTAAAGATTTCCATGAAACATTGTTTTTTCCTCAACAGAGTCCTCAAAGCCCCCTTGTCAAGATATCAATCCTTGTCTTAATTTGTGGAATTAATGAAGGCAATTAAAATTAATTACATAAATGAAAGATTTTCTTTCTTTTAATTTCTCTGGCAATAAACACGAAATTTGTTTGCATAGAATTTCCTTTTTGCTGAAGGGGGATCATGTAATTCTTTAATCCCTAGACCACATGCTTGATCTCACTTTCCTCAGTTTCCTTAAGATAAGAATGTAATAACAGCCGTATTGGATTGGCACAGGGATCCATCTGCCCTAATATCCCACCCCTGTCAGACTAAAGCAGGTGCTCGGTTGGAGTTAAGGACCAGGACAAACACACGATCCTTCCCCTGAGCGCTTGCTCTGTCTCTGAGGCTCCGCAGTTCGTACAAAAAGCTTCATGCACTGTATGCCATTTCAATGTATTTCTCAATGAGTTCTCTCCCAAGAAATTGCTCCTTCTCTGCTTAAGCTTTTACAAGCTTTTTAGCTTCCACAAACTGCTGTGGCAAGTGTTCTCTAGCCTAACTACATGTAGCACATTTAGTTTGTTTTGAAATGGACTCCTGATATCACTCTCTATTTCTTGTATTGGAGAAAAGCATGACTGTAGTGAACATTGAAATACAGTGATTATTAGAATTAGCTTTTTGATTAGGATGCTTTTGAAGTGAATTTCCTCACTGTCCTCAGTTCCTGATCACTGATCTGGTTTGCAGATAAGTTTTGGTGCGTGCAAGCTAATCTTCATTATGAGGAAACTAATCAGGAAGCTCCACGGCAAATGCACTCCAATACTTGGTAGGGACAAAGGGATCAAAATAATGCCGGAGCCTTCAGTCAGCTTTGAAACACATGAGGTGGAGATGTTCACATCAGATTATATCTAACTCAAAGCTTAAATCTCTACTGTAAACACACTGGCCTCAGCCTCTGCTGCTTCAATCTGCTGATCCAACCTACTGCACCAAAATATTCCATAATGCAGCTGTAGATGTTCTACATTACATGTATTCAGATTACACAAAGGTCCTTCAAAAAGACTTCCAATAAGCTGGATTTGATATGGAGACACCCTTCGTTTTGGCCTTGGAGTCATTAGGCTTGACCAGCTTTGAAAATGACAGGGAACTGTCAAATGTAAAGCTTGCTGTCTGGTCTCACATCTAAACACAAGTTCTTAATATGCTCGACTATTTGGATTTGGTTAAGTTCATATCCTCAATAAAGGATCAAATAGAGAAGTAGACAATCTTAATCAATATATCTTCTTTGAACATAGATAGGAAAGCCAGGATCAATTAAATATTTCTGTGTCTTTCTACAGACAAAATCTTTGAAAGGAAAACAGGTATTCACAAAATATGCAGTTCTAATTTGCAGTTTGCTCTGTTCACTAAGAATAGTCTTTTGTAATACAGACAGTTATAGCCTCTGAAGACCAGCCACTAGTCTTACTCATCTTGCTATCTGTATGTAGCTCAAAGAATAAGAGAATAAGTGGACTGTGATCTTATGAATTTGTGTGATGAACCTGAGATATTTCTGGTGACTTCCTTGTACTGAAATGCAGAAGTGAGCATTCAAAGGGTCATGACCATGTAACAGTTCTAAGAGTGAAACACTACTAGAAAAATGAAAAACGCCACAACTTACTTCTTCTACATATCCTACTTACTGAGGCTGGAACAGCATGCCAAACGCTATTTTGAGAATGAGAAATTACCAGAAAATATTTATTTAATGGGTCTAATATGTGCACAGCAGCTTCCAGTTACAACAGAACCAAGAACTTTTCATGCATCAGGTTACTATGAAATAGTTCCTCAAAGAACAAAGGAAAGAAAACATTGGATACTGGCATAGACTGAAGGTTGGAGAAGGTCAGTAACTAACACAAGACAAGTGCAGAATGATGAAACTACTTGCTCTAAGAGGGGAGGATATAGAAAGAAAAGTGGGTAGACACGATTGCAAAAATCTCACAGTTACTTCTGCCCTGCTAGTGAAAATTTTTAACCCTTACTGAGTCTGACTGGATAAATTTTCTGGTATTTCTCTCTAACCTTAAATACATGAATGCATGTAAGATGGATAATTCACACAGACCTACTGATCTAGTTGTACTTGTTACAGCTTTTAAATTTTTCAGTCTCTTACTATTTTCCGAATTGAAAGATCTGATGCATAACTTCTTACAACTTTTCTAAGTATTCTGGAGCAATGACGATCTTCAAAATTATGAGAACACTCAGACAACTAGCAGACAGGATGGAGACATCAGAACTCTTAGTTTTATATCCCAAAGCTGAGCTCATGTGGCTCAAGAATGTATGTTTTATGAACTTTTAGAGACTGGCAAATTATAGTTTCTTCTGCTGGGGAAAAAAAACAAACCCAAACAACAAACAAACCAAAACCAAACACCCTAAACCAAGGTATTTTATTTTTTTCCCCCAAGGAAGGAAATAGGTAGTTTCTGACTCAAGTCTTCCAATCAACCACAGTTATAATTAAGAAAGAATCTAGGATAAGACTCAGACAAAAAACCCTCAAAAACCAAACAACCCAAAAAATCAAAACCAAACAACAAACCCAACCAACTAACAACAACAATAACAAAAGCCAAATAAACCACACAAAACTGAAACAAAACCCCTAATGACATTTCTTTCTGACTTTACAGAACCAAGACAGAGGCTGTTAAAACTGTGACAAAAGGTTATGATGACATTTTCTAGGCTCAGAACTCACCTTCCTTACTAGTCAAGACTAAAACCTCTTAGGTAGTCATGCTGAAAAGCAATCAAAGGATGAAGCCTATCCTAGAAACATACTAGCCCCTAATCAAGGGTTGAGGAAGAAAAGTATATCCCCAGAGAGGTTTAGTTGGGTTGCCTTTTTCCAAAATGCCAAATGTCACATTCTATGATATTGCCAAGTAAGGAGAACAAGCAACAATTGACCTCATTTTCTTGGTCTTTAAAGCATGAAGACATACCACCATTTGGTAACTGAGATCCAAATCTCTTAGAAATTATCCATTGCTGGTACACTTGAGTATCAGAAGCTGAACTCAGAAGGCTCTATGGCTAAATGTATCCTATACATATCTTCACCCTCAAGTACAATTGTCACACAGGGAAACTTTTTAATAACCCTGTTTAATCAGGAACTATGTAG